AAAAATACCTACTGAAAATAGAATTTGCAAACAATGTACACAGAATAAAATAGAAGATGAACTGCACTTTGTCATGATATGTCCACAATATAAAGTAATACGCCAACAAATCATTCAAGACATTACATTTCCAGAAGAAACACAGGATGATCTCCAGAAATTTAATTTCTTGGTGACTTCAAAAGATGATATAATAATAAAAAAGATTGGCAATTATATTCATAATGCATTTCAATCAAGGAATGAAAATGCCATTTGATATGTAACACTTGCTTTATCATATTAACAACTAACTTTTTTTGTTGTAGTAGTTATCACAACTAATCTTTATCGCTATTAACTGATAGAAACATTGTATTTCTAAGGATGCAATAAAGTTATTATTATTATTATTATTATATGTACGGAAATGTTTCTAAAAGCAAGGAATTCATAACACATCACTGTTTTTACATTGTGATTAATTAAAATAGAGTAAATATATAGATTATTATGACTATTATTGAAATGTACATATCAGCATATGTGTGCAATTGAAACAAACATTATTAGAATAACAAATTCACAAAATAGTCTGCTTTGTAGTCTGCATTTTCCTTGAGAAGATTTAGACAAAAATAGTCACATTTATTGAGTAAAAACTGACATTTTACTCAAATTTTGTCTATTGGCTACAAAATTAGGGTTCATTTCGTGAAATATTGAAGAATACAAGAAAAAACTGCAGAAAAATTTGGGCGAGAAAGTCTGAGGGTGAAAAGGTTAGGACATTCCTAGGACATTAGGACATAGGGGGGGGGGAATTTCATGAAAGTTTCTACAATCATATCTCAAGGACCACAGTGACTTTTCAATTATGCCATGAGTTTAAAATAGTTTTTGCTATACAATAAATACAATGCATACCTTATTGGATATGTACTTCTAATAGAGCAAGTACAGTCCTTCATATACATGTACATGTGGTTACCAGGTAGTTGGTATGTATATTAAAAACTTTCAAAGATAAATGTACCAGCAAAAATGTATTACCGGCAATAATGTTATTTTTTCCTTCCTTCACCACAGCTGGTTTTAAAACTGAACGACAACAGATGTTTGTTTTTATATTTGATTGGTGCTGATATTGGTGCAATTATATATTTAGTGTGATATTATATTTACAATTTTGTGGCAACATACCAAAGTTACAAGCAATACAGAGATGAGTAAAGTAATGACGAACTGCAATATAGAGCTGCGTGGAATTCTCAAGGTGCCCAGCGAGGAGAACACCGAACACAAAAAGGTAATGTAGAGTCAATAGAGTTAAAGGATGAATATATAACGATTTCTTTTGCTAGCATTTTATTTTTGTTCCAGTAAATTAGCTACCATGTAAATTTGGCAAATATTCACAAACAGTTGTTGGTGCTGTAGCTAAAGTAATTTTCTACAAAGGAGGACAGAGAGAGCGATGGTGAGAGTGATGTGTGGGGTGAAGTTGATGGACAGAAAGAAAACTGAGGACTTGATGCAGATGTTGGGTTTGAAGGAAGCGGTAGATCGGTTGGCGAAGGCAAATGGGGTACGTTGGTACGGGCATGTGCTGAGGAGGGAGGATGGGCATGTATTAAGAAGGGCCCTTGATTTAGAGGTGAGCGGTCCAAGGAAAAGGGGAAGGCCAAAGAAGACGTGGAAGATGCAAGTAGAGGAGGAGAGTGGGAAGGTTGGGATGAGGATGAGGGATGCTTTAAATCGTGCAAAGTGGAGGGAGGGGGTAAGAGCGATTGCCACTAGTTTAAGGTGAATCCGGCCACCCTCGTCTTCGGGGACCAAACCGGATTTTAAAACTCTGGACTACTACTACTTATGAGTTATGAATTTGCTCAAATGATGTGTAGGTATTTCAAAATGTTTTTATAGTATGCATAATAATAATAATAATGCATAACTTTTAAGTACATTGATAATTGCATTTTTAACTCTGATTTTTATCATTGCATTGGCTGTCATCTTCTGCACATACTGTACATCCAAACAAAAACTTTTAAAATTTGAGTACCTATGTGAGCCTCTCTAGAATGAACATCTTTGAGTCCATGCATGGATAGTTTATAATTTACAAATCAAATTTAATCATTTGAATTCTAAAAGTCAACTTTGTTATTATTCACTAAACAAAATTGCAAAACTAAACAAAATTTGTAAGACATTTCGGCAATGAGAAATTAGATCCATGCAGTATAAAACCTAAAAAGAAATTACAGATAAATACATAAAAATGTTTTCTAAGAATTATAAATACCAAATTTTTATTGAGCTAGAGTTGTTGTTGAAATGCTCATTGAAATAGAGCATCCATGACTCTCTACCTAATGGTTTGTGTTAATAGGTGCCAACGACAGTTGCTTTATGTAGAGCAACAAGAACTGCATACACAGGCTACTGTAAAATACTTTATTTTAGCTGGAATTAATTTTTGCTGAAACGTTTTTTCCGATGTTTTGTATAGAATTTATTTTTACAGATTTTTTATGAGTTGAATGTAAAATACATGTATAGGAAAAAGGTAGATTCGCTGGGTTTTATTTTCACTGAAAATCGCTACAGCGAAAATAAAGTATTCATTTAAATATATTAAACATTTAACGGTATGTAGATATATGAAAACCAGGTTGAACAAAATTAAATCTGTTTCTGTCATCGCATGTGTCAGTTTTTGTTTTTTGTTTTTTTAAACAAAGAAAAAAAAATAAGGGGAATATGCCTGCTTTTGGTGGCACATTATGCACAGGTAAACTTTCTTGATGTTTCTCTATGAGATTTAAAAATAAAAAAAATCATATCACTGTATCGTTTTTAAAAGTAACTTTGGACCAGAAACAGAACTTTTTTTTCCTCTTTGGCCAATATGCTTGATTAATTTTTAAGGTAATAGTACAGTGAATAAATCATGAACCATTTCTGCATACTACCATGCATCAGTTTCTTGGATCTACTGTCTTTTAAACCCAACATTTATAGCAAAATAAATCAGATCATGAACGTAATAATTTGTCATCTTACATAGTGAAGCCCATACTTACCTTACACCAATCAATAGAGTATTGACTGAGAACTCTTGGGGCACAGCTTGACCCAAAATCCGAAATCATCGCAGTCGAGAATAAAAAGGCAGAGTAAAAGCAACCCCAATAACCGGAACCCTGGATAGGGCTCTCTAGCTCATCAGTTTCAAATTTCCAAGACAAAAGCTACAGATAGTGACAGGTGACGAGTGAGGTAAAGTAAGGTAAGTATGGCTCCGTGATGTAAAATGACAGATTATCACCAGATCTATTTTAAGATCTATTAAGTCATACTTACCTTATATCCAAAATCACACCTAGGAGGCTGGTAATTAATCTGTCAAGATCTCAACAAAAATGTTAATTCTAAATACGTGTAACCTAAATCCACATATTTATTCAAAATAATGTAGGAGAGACAACTATTGACTTAAGGTGAATATGGATCTATGGCACAAGGGTTTCTGATACAAGTCCTCAAGAGGAACCATTATCATTTTTTTCTCTTCTCGTGCTATGACACACATAGTACATACACACACAATCTTACCATCAATCAGCGATCAGGGGTAATTTAGACCTTCTGTCTGCCTCTCAAATAATGGCTGATGAAGACATCTGTCTCAGTCTTGTTTTAAGAACGTGATAAATAGATACATTGGCCTAGAAAGAATAAGCCAGTACTCTGACCTAGTGCATATGTCTTTATGTGTATCAGCTGGTATCTAGTGTAAGAAATAGACAAGGGATGAAGGCTCACAGCGAGTAAGGGAGGGTAACTCTTGCTAATTTTTGATCATTAGTAATTCATGTGACTTCTTCAATTCGTGTGAGACCATCATCGCATATCTCACTCTTGCACACACTGGAGTGCAATCTTATAATTACTTGATAACATGTCTTTAAATATCATCTTCATCATCAATTACTTCATTTAAAAAAGTTGCATCACCAGAGATTTAGTATGTGAGGTGTGGAAACTTTGACATCTACCAAGAGATTCAATGTCAAGTGTGATTTTAATTTTTAATAATAATAAATTTTATTACGCAACTGTAATCTGCTATGGGATACAGTAAGGTAAAAATATAGTGTAAAATAAAGCAACTAAAAATAACTACAAATTTAATAGTTCATTCACATTTCGGTATTCTGCTCTCTTTTTTTCTCTCGTAGTGTCCTTATACATCACAATAACAAAACTATGAATCCATAACTTACCTACCTATTTTATTTCAGCCTAACTTAATCTGACAATTTTCTACTTTTAAATATCCTTTGTTTTCATTGTGAACATCTGTTTTGTAGTTTGATCGACCGCCCTCAGTCGGCCACCGTGAGCTCCGGAACGCCGGTAGAATCCTTAGCGGAATGTAGATATGGAATATGACTATCCAGTTTATTTTTGGTAACAATGACAGCACGAAGCAGAACAGCACAGTGTTATTTAAGAAACTGTAATTCCACTCTCAATACAATACAAAAATGGATTTAATATATTTAGTACCGAAACTAAGTGGCAATTATTTAATTTAATAATCGTTGTTAGGCTTTTTCTAATAACCTAAGGAGTATTGGAGCTCGGGAAAAAATCACGTAGCAAGATGGCGGAAAACGACGTCGATTTTGGAACGAACGGAGAACACGCTTTGTCGCCACGATCCAAAGATGCGCCAAAACCGCTTCACCCAGAAGGAACTAGTCGGGTGAGTTCGGAGTTGTTAGTACGATTCTAAGCGGCGTATCATTCGATGAATAGTTTATTTTAGTTATCTATTTTGACACGCCTTGAATGGTTGTCAATGACGGTCGCTCTTGAGTCATAGACTCGTTATTTTATGTTTACTTTGCTCACGAATGTAAGTGACGTATTGTCGTTAAAACCACAGCGAAATGGCCACTGTGGTGTCACTTGTAATGTTAAACTGTTCGTGACAACTGGGACAGTACGGCTTGGCGATAGCGTGACCCCTTCAAGGACACTGCTATCAATTCATCGGTCATTCATCCTAACCGCGTATTACCTACGTCAGACAGCGCCATCGATCGGCAGATAATCACAAATACGATGATGACTGGCAGCTGATTAGTTTGTTCGATTTGTTTTCATTCATTCTTCCTCTAGTTTAATCGTACGATATCGAATTTTTTTTTTTTTTTTGATATAACATTTTTTTGGAAATGTGGTTTTTTAACTCTTTTGTATATTATTCTCAGGTAACAGTAACATTTTGTTGCATCTTTAGAAAAAGAACATTTCTATCAGTTCTTGGCAATAAATATATAGTTAAAAAAAATAATATATGTATTCAGATTGAATAGTCCTTATATGCAAGAAAAAAATTAAAAATGTTATAAAGAAAAAAATTTTGAAAAGCCTGTTATAGGAACAACCTTTTTTTTTATTTTGCCAACTGCTTTGAATGTTATTTTAAATTCAAAATATTTAATGGATTTTTTAAGCTCTACCATGATACAATACTGGTTGGGGAATACGGGGAAACTGTTAATACACACAAAAATTAAATGTTGCATAAAAATAGAGGCCATTAAAAGAATATTATCTTTGCAGATATGAGTGTCATAAATCATGTTTAAAGTTGTTGTAAAATCTTATCCACAAAGCCTGGCACAATTTTGTGACTGAAAAACAAAATTAGGGTCCTACAATAAAAAATAGGTGTAGGTTAGCTTATAGGAACTTTTTTTCTATTGACCTTATGAAGAAAAACAAATTTCTGTTTGATTACTTCTTTCTTGGTAAATTCAGAGACATGAATGCAGACATGTATTGTCCTATGATTTATAGGCTGTGGCACAATTCATGTCTTAAAGGTGAATTTCTTTACCAGTACAAGTTTTAAACCATTTTCATTTCAAGATTATATTTCAGTCTTGTACACCAGTCAGGGTTTTTCTAGAAAGAAACTGCAAGAGGAAGCACTGCAATTAAGAGGCGCCACCAAGTGGGGGAGGAGTTTTTGTTAATTCTAAGTTAAAATGGAGCATTCTAATTAATCAGACAGGTCACAGTTGAAGACTATGTCCACATGTAATCCCTGGTCAATCAGAATTTTATGGTTGCCAGAGGATCTGCTTCCCAGGGTAAGGAGTGCATGGCCATGGCATGAGGGCGCTGCTCCTCTGTTCCCTTGTTTAAAAAAATCCTTGCCAGTCTTGAAATTGACTGCATCTTGCATAAATTCATGCCTTTTAGACAGTACATTTTGTAGTCGTGCATGTCATGAATGCTACAAAAATCATGCAACTGCATGCATGAATCGGGCATGGACAGTGAAGGAACTGTTAGCTGACCAAGATTTTAAAAGAAAAAAAAATTGGAATGCACTTTGAGATAGTCTATCATATTAAACAGATTTTAATATTAACCCTTATGCTGCCAGCCCTTGTACATTTATAGTAAGCAAATAACACCGAATAAACGGCAAGGTAAAGACTATGTCTAATTATAGTAAATACGTACTGCGTGCGTGACTCGAACCGGCGCTCGCGTACGGCACCAAATCGCCTAGCTTCACGCCACTACACGTCTTCCCCTCGGCCACCGAGTAACAACTCAACATGTATGTTGTGTCAATCTGGCCATTGACTTGACCGAGTAAGGTTTGATAATAGACACGAAAAATGGGTGATTTGTGTTCGTCCTACATGGAAGAACCTGCATTGTATACCATATTGGTCTATAGAGGGACTATGAAATAAAATAATGGGATTGAATATGTTCATATTTTTTATGAGAAAGTACTAGTACATCATCGTAAAATTTATTTTGCTTTTTAGTCCCCGTTCGGACGAAGTCCGAAAACGGGGACTTATAATTCGGTCTCCGTCCGTCTGTGTGTCTGTGCGTCCGTGCGTCCATCCGGAGTCATATCTCAGAATCCCTTGGACCGATTCTGTTCATTCTTTGCATGTGCCTAGTACTTTATGTGGGACATATGCACATGCAGTGGTTTAGCGATTTGATTCAAAATGGCCGACTGGCAGCCATCTTGTTTTTTGAAAATGTTGTATTTTGGACATGCTTTGTCAGTTTTCATTCAAACTTGGTACATACATTATACATGTTAGGATACATGTCCATGATGATTTATTTCACAATTGGATCAAAGATGGCCGACTGGCAGCCATCTTATTTTTTGAAAATGTCGTATTTTGGACATGCTTTGTCAGTTTTCATTCAAATTTAGTACATAGATCATACATGTTAGCATACATGTCCCGACCGTCCGTGAGTTCCTGAGTTTGTCTGTCCGACTGTATGTGTGTCCGTCTGTCCGTGTGTCAGTCATTCCAACGTCATATTTCAGAATCCTGTGGACCGATTCCGTTCATTCTTTGCATGTGCCTAGTACTTTATGTGGGACATATGCACATGCAGTGGTTTAGCGATTCAATTCAAAATGGCCGACTGGCAGCCATCTTGTTTTTTGAAAATGTTGTATTTTGGACATGCTTTGTCAGTTGTCATTCAAACTTGGTACATAGATTATACATGTTAGGATACATGTCCATGACGATTTATTTTGCAATTGGATCAAAGATGGTCGACTGGCAGGCATCTTGTTTTTGTTTTTTTTATGCAGTATCTTGGACGTGCTCTGTCAGTTTTCATTCAAATTTGGCACATACATGTACTTTATACATGTTAGGATGCATGTCCATGACAATTCGTTTCAAAATCTGGTCAAGGATGGCCGATTGACAGCCATCTGACTTTTTGGCCTTACTACTATATTTCCACAATTTATGTACCATTTTCATTCGTATTTGGCACACACATCATACATATCAGTGTGTTTCATAATCAGATCAAAGATTGCTGAATAACGACTGTTTTTATTTTGGCCATATTACTATGACACGAAACACGTGTTTTGATGTAAATAAACAATCTGTTGCATACGCCACTTGGAACTCAAGTTTCAAGGACATGCTCGCGACAACCCCTCCGCTTTAATATGACGAGCACAAAGAGAACTTAACGGGGACTGTGTCATTTTCAATGACTTGTATATTTAGACGTACATTACCTCTAGGTACTGTATGGGAATGTGATGAGTTCCCTAAAAGTAAAAATTGAAGGGCAAGATGGTCAGTAGATGTCAATCGCACTACCCTCAGGGATATTGTAGATGTCTTGGTGTCATGGTGTCATTTGTATTGTTTTTTATGTGGTTGTTTAATTCTGATAAACTTAAAGAAAACACTAAGGATGAAGTTGCACATGGCGATGTTGCAATTTAACATGTGCAGTATATTTGTTGTGAAAACTGGATTCAGTTGATAAACTTGCTTGGTGTCACAAAGTCAGAATTGAAACAACTAAAATTTTGCAACTGACTTTTTAAATTTGTTCATGACATCATCAAAACACATTATCACACTTTTTTACATGTTTTACAAGCGATACATCGTATTGTATGATGTCATAATAATATATACATGTACATTGTAATATATGTATGAACTTGCTTGAGCATGGAGCTAATCTCTGTTTTAGTTGTGTCTTGGAATCAATCAACATATTTTGAATTTAACATTATATATAGGTCAATATAACTAAACTGCCTTAAAGTGCCTGTGAAATGGCTGCTATTTTCACGCCTAAAATTATCCATTGATACATAAATATTATTATTTCTTTATGTTTCTAAGCATGAATTATTTTTTTAAGTGAAAATAAGTGTTTTAAACTCAATCTGCGGCAACTTTATTTTTGTGTATTTTAAAACAAGGCTCCTCATTAGCTTCTTATTTGCATACAG